AAGGGTGCATTCCAAGGTTGAAAAAACACAATTACATAATGAATTAAGTGTATCATTAGTAAATTAGGTGCCCGTGCCGCAGGTGGACGCCCCCCCCGCGTTCTCCCCGTGGCGCCGTTGGTTACACAGGCCACAGAAATGCGCCTTAGGTTGATTGATGACCCATAAATTGTCCAGAGGTGAGAATGTGAGCGTGAGCGGTTGTTTGTCACTATCTGTCCGTTAGCCGGCCTTCGTCCGCTGTCAGCTGACTGTCAACTCTTGGATCAGTGCGGCGGTTCAAGGTCAGAAAGAGACCATGTTTGTGATATACCGCTTATATTTATTTAAATTTGGACGTTTATTTTACATGTTTTGTTTGGCAGCGACAAAGTCAATTACCTTTTTCTTTGTGTGAACTTATCTTAATTATAACACCACCAACATACCCTTATTTTGAAGGTCACTACTTTACAGCACTGACAGAATTGCCCAAATCGGACGTAATTCTAAAGAATATTTATATTTAGTTAAAGTAAATAGTGAGTTTTTTCCCTGCTCTTCTCAAAGGATTTATGTCCTTACCTTCAGTAACAGTCACAGCTTTCATGGACAATACAACAAACTACAAGGGAATCTCTTTCAACCGGGACAAAAAGTTGCCGAGTATAATTATAGATCTTCACAAGCCGATCTTTGTCTCCCTTTGTACCTCAGCCAGGCTGCGTCTGAACATCAGAGGCTGCGGCGAGATGAAAGGTCCCCAAACCCACCAGGTACACTGATGTTGTCGCTATGGTTTTCTCTGCAGAATCATTACCTTGACAGCTGACATGCAATCTGGCTCTTAATGTGTCACACTGAGGCTCACAAAGAATCGGCATTCGGCGGCGGCCTCCTCGGCTTCCAGAGCATGACGTTTGGCACAGAAGTGGGCTGAGGTCTTTTTCTTTCCCCTTCACAGTCCGTGTCTTGTCACTTGTTAAAACTCGTCTTGGAGTGAAGAGCGAGACAAGCCGATCCTGGGCTAATGTTTCTAGTATGAATGACTAAGCCCAGCAGCCATCATTCTTGTACTAATCTCCTGGTTTCCACAGTTGATCAATCTGTGCCATTCTAGTGACCTCCCGGTGAACCTCACAAACCTTTCATAATATTAATAACGATAATAGAGATTACTCCTGCAAGTGACTAAAAGCTCACAGAGGCTGCTGAAGCATGCAGCGTTGGTGCAAACCTCAAACTCCTTCACATTTACAATATTAGCGTGTCTTATCGCAGTAATTCCTCATGAAGCTCATAAAGATATGCGCTTGATGAATGTGAGCCGAATAGTTTCCTAACCAAAGCAATGCAAACGTAAAAAACACACAGGCGATTGTGTGTAAAGATAACATGTGTGCAGGTATGGTGTAAAGCACACCCAGACCCCAGAGGAAAAACAAAGCTCCTCGGGTTTCCTGTCTGCAGGAGGAGACGTTAAAGTGGTGATTGAGGCCTCCCAGGTTTTTTTCAGAGGCTGATCTGTTGTGTGTAACCGTGTGGTGTCTGTCTCGTAAACATTTGATTCTAGGGTCAACCGAGGCCGCTTCCACGATCCCCGCGATCATTGTCAAGATCAACGCCAGTCGCATCAGGGAGAATCTGCAATATCTTTAAAAGAATAAACGTGTTTCAGGGAGGCCATAAAACGAACTGATCACCTCCAAACAGAGACTGGCTGGTGAACACAATGAAATATTAAGCAGCTCCAGAAACCAACAGTCGCTCAAGGGTTGGTGGAGCCCGAAAACAAAGGGAATTTGGGGAATTTGGGAATTAGGACACAAATTCAACTCAACTGGAATCAGGATCATTTGTCTAATAACTGTTGCTTGGGCCCCCGTCCCCCCCGTCCCCCGCAGCAGACAGCAGTATTAGTGTAGCCGAGCAAATGGCCCGTTCTGAATGGGCAGTTCCTCGGTCGAATGACGGCACAATCAATAATATCTGAAAATATCACTGATGGCTGCATGAAGTTCCCGTAAAGGCTCCATCATTCATCGTTCCTTGCATCTGAAGAGGGCACAAATGCAGTGGAGGTATTGATACAGCATCCGTCTGTCATCGGGCTGTTCATTACTCAAACCTATTTTAGCATGACCGTCACAACTGTTTCCAGGTTCCTCCAGCCGCCCCCTCGGTTGTGGGGATGATGCACCGCATTCCTTGGTCCTAATCAACTGTGAATGGTGAGAGGTGATGAAACCATCAAGAATGAGCAAATCCCACAGAGGAATTTAAAGCGTCACCTTAAGCGTATACCTGCTCCCACTGATACGAGGGGTCCGTGCCGTTCACAGTGCACTGACACAGGATGCAGGGTTTGTAGTTGTCCTTGATTCCACTTATCCCGCCTCCACTCTACGCTTTGGCCTTCAACAGCCTAAAGTTCTTCATGCGCCGCACACCACGTGTCATTATTACATTCTTCACACATTTTTCCTGTCAAAAGAGCAAAGGGTGTAGTGTGTGATGTAAGGGACAACTCACAATTTGAGTCCTCTGGTCTGTAAGCTGTAATAACAGCATGAAAGTCTTCTATGCGTTGGGCAGAGGTGCATGCTAACACAAGCATAAGAATCATCGCTAAGCCTTTTCATACATGGATTGTAATTTCAGATACACGCAACACATGTGGAAAAAAGCCCTGCAGGGGGAAGAAAACGGGTAATTAAGTGCATCTTGATGTTATTTCCTTTTGGCTTCTCCGGGATTAAGCCACCTGTCAATCAAGCAGGTAACAAAGGGGGCCTGGAACCTCCTGCATGGCCTTCAGGTCTGCGTTACCACCCCTCCTTCGTCTACCTTCCGGCTGTGCTCTCGTTTCGTCACAACGACCATCGGGACCACATCATCTGCAGAACGTAGCGATGAAACCCGCAGACCCTCCCCCCCATGAAAACCACAAAGAGGATCGGTGACGAGGCGCAGCCCTGGCGAAGGCCAACCCCCCAACCGGAAACGCCTCCGACTTACCGCCGAGCGCCGGAACACAGCTCTCTCTTTGGGGGAATTTATTCTGAAAATATTTTTCACAATTGCCACTACTAAAACAAGATCTCATTCACATTAAATATTGTACAACTTTTGCAGTCTCAAAAAGCTGAGAGACCAAAACAAAACCATCTGCCGAGGTGATTGTGTCGCAGCATGTAATGCTGAAAAGATTTTACAACCAGACAGCAGAACTTTAGCTCAGGGGTATAGATATTTTATTATCTGGCATGCCCCAACCTTGGCTTCTTTTAACCAACAAACATCACATAATTCAGCAATCAATCCCTTTTTAGCCAAATTATAATGTATTGTAGGTTCAGCCTTTAAAGCCTGCGATATAAAATCTTTGATTTATGCATCTCTTAAAAAATCTTCACAACACCTTTTGAACATTTTTTCCAAAGCATGTCGACCTTGTTTATGTCTCATTCCTCACCTACCACGTCATTGTTGGCAGAGATTTCATTTTGGACCCTAATTGGCCCTCGCTCTCAAGGTACTGCCATAATGATAGTTATTAAGCATCCCCCGTCTTAAATAATCAACGTTCTGACAAAGAACCTCTCCCGCCCCAAACCCAGTGTGGCGGCTTCCATCCACCGCTGAGAACCAGCACCATCAGGTTTTTTTTAGCGCCCGAAAGGTCCGGATCTCAAAACATCAAATATTTATATTCAAGAATAAAGCGCTGCACAAATAAGATATCTACTCTGGATTACAATTTACACAAGCGGGAGCAGACACAGCGGTAGTTACTGACAGTCATTTGTTTAAGAGTAGAACCGCAATGCAGGTGTTCACAGGTGCAAGGCTGGCACCGGCAGACCGCTTCAACGCTAAACACCTGGAACACGAGCAGTGACGTACTGGTGTTTACAGGAAAAACACCACAAAGCAGTTAATTGGTACTCCAGTGATGCCCTTTGTGGCGTGCGGTTTGAGTCCTTGGGAGGACAAGTCAGTGCTGCGCTTGTATCTGCAGGGCTCCGCTGCAGTCCGTTTACACTTTCCCCAGGAAGCGCATTGTGCTGATTTGGATTCTGATGGAACGTGTTTAGGGTTTGGGCTGTTTAGATTAAAAAAGCAACACGAAGATGTCACCTTGACCAAGTACAACGGGCCCCACACTGTGACATATTAAAGACAAGCTGTCGCCCGCCTCCATCGGTCAATTAGTTCTCTTCACACCGTTCGTAGGAAATCAAAATGTACGGTTTTGTTACTTATTTTTGACATGTTAACAACAAACAGCTTGCTTATTTTGACTAAAACTACAACTTTTTTTCTAACCCTGACCAGGCAACACGTCACACGTCACCACTGCTTTCTACGCGATTGGACACTGTGGTCGTGCCACCAATTGTTTCAGTAATGAATTTCCCGTTTCACCCAACGACAACGTTGTTGGGTTCTCCGTGACGGAGCCTCGGCGTTACTCTTAGCCAGGCTGTTTGGCCAGCTGCCTTTTCAAAGCGTCACTCTATTGAGGCAAAGTTTAGCCGAGGAATGTTTTGTGCCGATTATTCCCGGGAGCGAAGACCTTTTCTATTGCTCGGACTGAAATCCTTCTTGACATCACCCCCCTTGCAATTGTAAAGTCCCCCACCCCCCCCTCCCTCCCAGCTTTCCCGTTTGCCATTTCCACAAAATAAATAGCGTCCAAATTTTATCTGGGGTTTTGCATGGTTACCACTTTGTTAACGCGCAGTCTGGCCTCTTGATGAGACCAAGAGCATTTTTGGGGGGCACAGTGTGGTTGTTGTAGCAACGTCATTGAGGAGTGAATGAAGCAGATGTCAGAGTAATCCATCAGCCGGCAGCTCCGCACTTCCACTCCCACACACACACACACACACACACACACACACACGCACGCACACACACATTGGTGGGACAGCCTCTGCAAACGCAACCCTCAATCACAAACACTTTGATTTCTGATAACACTTATAAAATATGTTGAATAAAAAAAATGACCTTCCTTAATTCTGAGACAACTTTTATTGACAAAAAGACGAATAAAAGACAACGTGGCTTTGCGTTGAATAGGTCGACAGTGGCCTCTGACGTATGAGGACTTCAGCAGTTGTGTGCTTTCGCTTTGTTAGTTCAGTTGCATGCAAGAAGAAGCTTTAATGAGGACCGAGTTAGTGTAGAATGTTACTTCACCGGAAAGGTTTTTAACCATTTAACAAGAGAACTGGGAATTTAAAAATAAAACAACCCATTTTTCTGCACTTGAAACCATCTAGAGTTCTGTCATCAGCCTGCTATATACTCTACAATCCCAACTAGTCCCCGATTAGTGGTTGAATGCTGCAGTATTAGGGCCGGGTATCCCAATGTCGTACTTAATAAGTTGAGGCTCGCAGGTATTAGAAGTTTTGATTTAATGCTTGGTCCACTTTGTTATTTGTATTGACAGATAAAATCAGTTTTTTCACAGCCTCAAGCTCCCAACGTTAACGTCCACTAATGAACATGTTTTGCATATCATTACACTTTCCATCCCCATCTCTCTACTCTAATATATGAAATGATTCCGAGCCCTAGTTCCTGTTGGTGAGATAATAAAAAAAGTTTTTTTTGTTACATTAACTTCCAACCTCGGTCTACCTATTATTTTGGATATAGGCAGAAAAACTACTTGGTGGAGTTTATATATAAAAACATAAAGGCTCATGGTTTGGGTTAAAATGAGTATGTTTAATACTTAAAATAAGTACACTTGCTTGGCAAGAGTAGTTGCGTATCTTACTTTAAAAAAAAGAAGAAACGTTGGACACAAACTGCTGTCTCCTGTGTGAACGTCCAGTGTTTGACCAGTCCGGCTTCCCCTGCCGTCCAACCGAATTCCTCCCTCTTTACACTCTTGTGTTCCTCGAGGGGTTGGTTGAAATCTCGGTGCGTCCCGTGCAGATGCAAAAAGCTCCCTCTTAGCGTGTGTCTCATGTTAATGACCAAGGCATTGGAGGCTAGATGGATAGAAAGATTTTTCTAAAATTACATTTTTCTTGGTTAGCAGCCTTTAAAAAAAACACCATTAAAGACATTTCCTACTTACACGTCTTACTATTCGTTACGGGATACGACCAAGACGCTGTTTAGACAGCAGATATTACAGCTCAAAAGACGATGAGTGTGGATATCATTAATAACGTGAAGACCCACAGTTACAATGGCGTATTGCTGCTGATACGTTTTTTTAATTTGTAAATTTACAAAAGTTCAAATTCGAATGGCAAAAGCTGCAGCCGATTTCAGTTTAACTAAACCACAAAAAGAAATTGTTGCTTTTTCAGATATAAAAAGCTTAGCCTCATAAGCTAACGTTAGCGGACCGGCAGCTAGCACGGTGGTAACGTTAGCCCTTTGTGGTGCGATAAAGGTTCCCTAAAAACGGGTTACGAATCACAATGCTGCACATTTCATTCAACATCGTTATGTTCCACTGCACAGGAACAAGGCACATTTTCAAAACAGTGCATCAGTAGAAAACTCAGCAACTCAACAGTTGGAAATGCTAAGGGAAATATCTTACATAAAGATAGAAAATAAATAAAGAAAAAAATATATATAAAAATAATCTCTTACAAAATATATTCTATCAACCATCATTAAGGGGGAATTAATGTCTGGAAGCTTTGCTCCTTGTGGCTTTCATCTTGGCTTAAAGAGTCAATATTGTTGCTCAGTCAAAAACTCATGCAACATTCCAGACAACTAGCAGCAAACGGTGGGGGGCCGGGGACCGAGAAGTGGAAAAACAATACTATCATAGCAAGCCCACGATTGGTAGTTTAGTGTTCCTCCGCTAGGCTTAAAGCACGTGAGCTGCAGGCTCGAAATTGTGACATTCAGTCGAGCTCCAGTGTGTAAGTTTCCTTGTTAAATTTAAAATCGAATCATTTTTTTATGTTTGCGTTGAAGGCATCTACACAACTTATTGCCTTACCGGAATATAGCCATCAGTGAGTTTTCAAAAATGATCAGTAGTTTTCTCATTTAATAAATTATTAGTCTAAAAAAATAAAAGACCAGCCAGAGGAGAGTCATGCCAACAGACCAGCGGAGAGAAGTCAAGCCCCGGGTAGCAAATGGCACACAAATGAAAAGCGAAAAAGAGTCCAGCGTCGAGGCAGATGTCCATTGGCATCGGTACGATGGACACGTCGGGGGAACCGGGGTGTCGTGACTGTTGACGGAATGGGCGTTCCCTCCGCGCGAGTGTCTCGCCCACCTCGGCCCAAATACTCGCCCAATAAATACCTCTATTTACAGGTGTACACCTCTGTCCTCTCGCTGCACGTGTTGCATTTCACGTAGCAGCACCACAGGAACTTGCAGTTGCACTGCCAGACGCGCGAGTACTGGTGCGTGTCGTAGCCTCGGCCGCAGCACATCAGGTCGCAGCTGTTGGGCTGCAGCGCCGTCTTGTTGCACAGGCGACCCTGCGTGCCCACGCTGCCCGTCAGCAGGTCGGCCTCGCAGTAGTTGGGCGACCTCTCGATGTAGACCAGCTCTGTGTCCGTGGGCTTGCGGTAGGAGTGGGGTTTCTTGATCTTCAGGAAGGCGGGCCGCTTGTTGCGGCTGGCCCGCACCGGCTCCACGTGCACGGCCTGGTTGTACCGGTCCTTCAGGACGTATCCCAGCTGGCGGAACTTGGGGAGCGTCGTCCAGCACGTCTTGGTGGTGCAGGACCCCGACACGCCGTGGCATTTGCACTCGAGACGCATGCCTTTCTCCAGGACCTGCAAACGCAGAGCGGAGAGGTGGTGTGGAGCAACGGTCTCAAAGCTTCAAACTGAAAAGGGCGCCGGGTTGCAACCGCCCAACTGCCCAATCTACTCACATGCACTCATTGAATTTGTTGAGATTGGCGTTGGTTTTGCACCACCAAAGGAACTACTTCGTCTGTCCTACAGCTCTTTTGTTGGTATCTTTCCATATTGAGCGAGTAAGAAACATACGAGTGTGCAGGGATACGCAGTCCGACATATTGCATGAATAGTTCAACAGGTTGAGACAAACGTTTTCCAGCATTCCAGATGAATGTAAGCATTCCAGAGATCTCAGAGCTGCTACAGTATGTCACCATTGTGCCAGCAGCTATGTATGTGCCATTCGTTTTACGAGACAGGGTGAGCCTGAAAACACACTCAGGCAGGAGACATACTCAGAGTTTACGCATTTCCTTTTCGTTATAGATGATTAACATATCTAAGGTTTCATGGTGGTTGTAGAGAAGCACTAATAACAGTGTAGAAATAGTCTGAAACAAGTAAAAGCTTCACTTATATAAAAACCCTTTTTAATTATTATTACTGATTAATTAATGTGTTCATTACGCAATGTTCCCTTAGATCCCATTTTACATTTATTATACGTATTATAGTTAATTAGTAGATGTACACTTTGTAAATAATTGTTGTCTTGTCTAGTAATAAGTACCGTAAACTACCGTAAATTAAATATTTCTTTTCTAAGACGGAGTAGAAATCTAAAGTACTAAGAAATCCAGAAGCTGATTTCATCAAAAAGTTCAAGGTGACAGAAAACAGCGAGCGACAGAGGGAGTGTGGAGGCGTTGTGGCGTGTTGTGGCGTGGAGGCGTTCTGGCGTGTTGTGGCGTGGAGGCGTTGCGGCGTGTAGGCGGTGTGGCGTGTAGGCGGTGTGGCGTGGAGGCGGTGTGGCGTGGAGGCGTTGTGGCGTGTTGTGGCGTGTTGTGGCGTGTTGTAGCGTGTTGTAGCGTGAAGGCGTTGTGTCGTGGAGGTGTTGTGGCGTGTTGTGGCGTGTTGTGGCGTGGAGGCGTTGTGGAGGTGTTGTGGCGTGTTGTGGCGTGGAGGTGTTGTGGCGTGTTGTGGCGTGGAGGTGTTGTGGCGTGTTGTGGCGTGGAGGCGTTGTGGCGTGTTGTGGCGTGTTGTGGCGTGGAGGCGTTGTGGCGTGGAGGCGTGGAGGCGTGGAGGCGTTGTGGCGTGTTGTGGTGTGTAGGCTTTGTGGAGGCGTTGTGGCGTGTTAAAGGGGTGGAGGCGTCGTGGCGTGTTGTGGCGTGGAGGCGTCGTGGCGTGTTGTGGCGTGGAGGCGTCGTGGCGTGTTGTGGCGTGGAGGCGTCGTGGCGTGTTGTGGCGTGGAGGCGTCGTGTTGTGGCGTGGAGGCGTCGTGGCGTGTTGTGGCGTGGAGGCGTCGTGTTGCGTTGTGGCGTGGAGGCGTCGTGGCGTGTTGTGGCGTGGAGGCGTCGTGGCGTGTTGTGGCGTGGAGGCGTCGTGGCGTGTTGTGGCGTGGAGGCGTCGTGGCGGGTCCGGCGGCGCGTGCCACGGACAGAACGGCATCCACTCGCCCGCTTCTAACTGAGTGGGAACCGGCGTTGGCGTCATTCTGCTTCAGACTCTCTGCAGTCTGGCGGTGTAATCGTGAAAAGCCGCGGATGTGTCCAGCTTAGCGTGGTCGTGGTCGTGGTCGTGGTCGTGACCCCCCGCCCCCCTTCACACTGTTTACTCTTCTCAAGACATTACGCAGTGAAACTGACACACACTCACGTCTCCAATTACACACGAAAGCCTACAATAATAATAATATAATAATAATAACTACAATAATTATGGAGGTAAACGTCTAGTAAATCTAGTAAATAGAGAGATTAACCCGCTGTATCAGTGAACGGTGCCGAACTCACACAGAAAACAAGCTAAACATCCATAGCAGCATAACGTGCATGTACACTGATTGTAGCTACTGAAGGGCTGATGGGAGCGCCGGGAACCGAGAGGTTGGCGGTTTGAATCCGGGCTGCTTCATGTCGAAGCGCCCCTAAACAAGACGTCTAACCACGAATTCTCCATGAGCAAAACGTAAAATAAAAACACGGGTTAAAAATGTAAGTTGGTTTGGATGAAAGCGTCTGCAAAATGACACGTAATGTAGTTCTTCAGCATCTACTGTAAAAACAAGCCGGGGTCGCCTCACACACTCTTATCCACGCAGTGAGATGAGGTACCACACACGGGACCCACTTTTGTTAAACAATATTGTCAACGGCGAGATATATTATTTAATCCGATTTGATCTGTGCCAAACATTTGTACAAATGACGTTTGTCGATTTAAAAGACAGTTTTGCACGTCAACAAAGTGTCATTTGAGCCGACATTTCACGGGAAAGTCAGGATGCCTTCTGCGTTTTTGTACAACGGGTCGAAAGAGCTACGAAGATGTGTGACTTTCTCAACTCGCAGAACTGCCTTTTATATTGAAATGAAAACCAATGCTAATGCTAATTAGCGATCCTTGCTCACTAAAGGGCACATCGCTCAAAAAGCAACGCCGGCTGCCTCCAATCAGTGCAAGTGATTAAAGGGAGTAAGGTAACGGCCGAGAACGTAATGAAGGCCGACGGTTCCCTCCTCCTGACAGATGAGAGGCTCGCTTTTTTTATATCGATTCGTTGCAGCGCTGTTGTTCGCCCGACTTCTAGGTTCTAGTTTTTGAGTGACAATCTCCCAGAGCCCAAGATATTGTCTTTGCATCGCTTGTTCTGTCCAACAAGAGCTCAGCTAGGTGCCACCAAACTCTATCTGCTGTAACCGAGCCCCAATCCGGCACATCCGAAGGTCTTACATTTACATTTGCATCTGCTGTAAATGACGGTGATGAGACTCCAGAATAGCACGTACCTTGCGGCCCACTTCGTTGTTGTGTAAATTCATGAGCGTCCTGGCGTTCTGCTTGATCTCCCGCGCGTCCACGAACACCTTGGAGAAGCCGAGGCCGTAGTGGACGTCGGCGGAGCAGCCGCCCCACTTCCAGCCCTCCTCCTGGTTGTAGAAGCCCTGCTTGTCCGCGTCGCAGCCGCAGCCGCTCAGGCTGCCCTGCGTGCAGGCCGCGGTGACGGCGTGGGCGACCCCGGCTGCAATGATGGCGTAGGTGAACGCGGCCTCTTTGCTGCCTGCCATTGGGAGAGGAAAAAAATAAAAAAAATGCATGATTTAATTACCAATGCAGACAACAGGATTCACTATTTCAGGCACTGTCAGGACTCCTTGCATACCTGGCATAGCTGCCTCAGACCAAATTGTGAAACACACGAGCCAAGCGCAATTGCTCAATCAAGCTCAGTTAAAGCAGACACAGGACGAAGCTCTGAACCGTGCAGAAAATACAACGGGGCTGTCGGGAATGGAATGGAAGGCCGTGGCTCTGTGACGAGTTATGATCAAATTCTACTAACTAGTTATAATTGAATAAATCCACCAATTAAAAAGTCAATGAGCCAAGAACGTTTGCTTGGTAAAGATGTGTTTTTTATTATTATTCAGCGGGGAAGAAGACATTCTCAACGTCTGGGCATCGTTCATGGCCTCCTTCCGCACCACCATCATAAATGGGATCCACCCTGCGAGGTGCATCCGAGAGGCACGCGGATCCTCCCTGAATGGATGAATTCCCACTCCATAAATCTGAGTGTTTCAGCTCAACTGCGGTTTTTTTGCAACCTGTTGGAGGGCATATAAATGGCATCCAAACATAAACATCGGACGCAGGAAGCACGCTCGGTAAGTGACGCCATGTTTACCGTCCGATGCGTCGCCACAACAACCCCCTTTTGCAGCCAGCGGAGGAGCAGATCACCGTGAGCTACTTCAAGGAGCTTACTTGGTGGGTGGGGAAGGAAATACTTGATCCTCCTGCCAAAATACTGTACATTGCTGCATTGCTGCCATCCGCTATCCCAGACGAATGTGCTCTCGTCAGTTATCAGTGTTCCAGCCTGCTGAAACCAAACAATGGACTCAGACGGACCCAACTTGGAACTTTATCAGAAATCGGTTTCAGTTTTTTACAAATCTGACGGAATGCATGAAAAAATTAATAAGGAGCGTAAACCTGAAGGAAAGAGTATTTTTTTAGGGTGGTATTTACGAACATACATGACAGAAGCTAAGCTGAGGGCAGACACACAGCACGTTGCTCTGCTTGCAACCAACTTCAGGGGAGCATGGATGGCTGGAATACGTCGTCATGGTAACAAGACATGTCCACCATCACAATGGGAGGTCATTGAGGATGCCCGTGCGTGCTGAGCGGCAGCGTCCAGCCATTCAGACATGAAACACGTAACACATTAGATGGTCTGTGCCGAGTCCTCCACACCACTTTCAGGCGTTATGAAATAATAGAAGCGACGGTTCAACACCAGCGCGTCAAAACGGGATTCTTCCAAATTATTTCCGCAGTCCTTCTCCTCGGAGAGAACATCGCCTCGAGCCTTGTTCCACACACAGGATGAAAAATCTGCAGATCTTTTTTTTTTTTTTTCCTCTTTTCTCTCACCGGGAGCAGATGAGTCTGAGCTTCAACGTGTCAGAGGTCAAAGAGGGAGGAATGCCCTGTTGGGACTTTTTTCTGACAAATTATAGCAATTCTCTAAACTTATTTCATGACTTCCCAAACAGTAAAGATAACTTAAAGAAAAACGTGTCGGTGGAGCTGCTGCTGTGGTTTGACGCAGTCGTTTAACAAATTGTTGGTACTTTATTGGTTGAAAATAGAATGCGGTTACTTTAACGATGAAGACCTGCTGACGTGTTCCAACATCATGGACCTCAAAAGATAAACTGAGCTCTCAGCGTTTTGCGCAACTTCCATCATATAAGCACAATTTACTTTAAACCATCTCAAAAGGAAATATGAGAAAAAGACAAAACAATCCAATAGGCTCCCTCATAGTAAATATTCATGAGGGCAGTTTGTGTCGCTGAAGTGAAATGAAAAGTGCAACTTACCCACTTTGAGCTCTTTCCCGAACACGGTCCTCTCCGCCAGGGCCGAGCAGTTCCAGCGGCCGTGCCTGAACTGGAACTGGCACTCGTTGATCCCCATCTGAACCCCCTCTCCGATCACTATGATGGCGTCGGGTCGGCTCTGGCAGATAGTCCGCTGACGGGGGGCCAAGCCGGGGATTTTGTTACAGATGATGCTCGCGCCCAGTGCGACCACCGAGGACAGGCCCCTGTGGCGGAGGAGGTCAGAGGTTACAGCGCGTCTTTGGAGCGTCTGCAGGTGTTTTAATTCGGTGGAGTAATCCGTGGATGAAACGCAAGAGGAGCGCAGCCAGAAAGGACCCGACACTCTCGGGGGGGGGGGGGACTTTTTGTATTCTTATTTTACTCAGAAATATTATTTATTTTGTTTTTGCCACTGCATTCGTTTCCATAACTCACCCGATTTTCAGATACAACACTCCAAGGCACAGGAACAAGTGGAAGATCCAGCGGCGCGTCTTCCTGCTCATGGTGCCCGCTCGGCCGCAGCCAGCCGGTGGATTGCTCGGTGCAGCGAACCGGCTTCTACTCCTCCGCAGAGCCGCGCCGGGTGTCCAGGTGCTCCGAGCCGCTGTGCGCGGGGACGATAGAGCTCCTCGGGACAAACCAAACTCCGTGCTGATCAACCCGTCCTGGTCTCATCTGGTGGGTGTCCGGCGGTGCGAGCCCGCGGTGGCGCATTGGAGCTGCTGTTTTCCAGGTGCGCAGCTCGACTCCTCACTGAGCAGGCTGTGTGTGAGCGTGTGTGTGTGTGCGTGTGTGTGTGTGTGTGTACCTTTTCTGCTATCAGGGCGTGTTCTGCGGAGGATTTGCCTCTGAGCAGCTTGCAGGTACACGCTCAGCTCACCGGTGGCTGCGCGCGGAGCACCCGGGTCCGGCTCAGGGTTCAGGGAGCCGCTCCGATGTCGCACTGGTCGTAGGTCACACGCTCTCTGCGGGACGCCGCATCCTCCGCGTCTGAGAGACAACACCGCCCCCCCACTCCCCCTCGCTTACCCCACCCACCCCCCAAAACGACGAACGCCCCTCCCATCGCACGCACGTTGTCCTGGCACGTTCAGGGACCCCGCTTCTCGCGTCGGGCCGATGTGATGGGGCGTCTGGTCCGTGGCCGCGTGCGTTTGTGATGCACTCAAGTGACCTTCGGGGGGGGGGTTAGAGTCGTGTCGCGCGCTTTTCACTCCTCATCGGGGTTTCACGCGCATCGCACACGTTAAAACACACTTAAAAGATGAAAAACTACGGGTTCTGAACAATGAGGCCAATGCGCATGTGCATTCTCTCCAATGACCACCAGGGGGCGACTCCTCCGGTCCTATAGATTATATATGAGAAAATACTTCGCTTTTGATTGATTCCCTCAGTAACCATTGTAAACTTGAGTTCATGGTATTGATCTTTAGTTGCTTTATGATTGACATTCTGCTAGCAGGCCACGCCCCACAGTCCAAATATGGTCACTTCCATTTACTGGCTGCAGAACGTCAAGATGGCGACAGCTAAATCACAGAGGTCGAGGCCTCAGAACTGTTCATAACACCGTCAGTGTCATTATGGCTTCAGCAGCCACTCCTCATATGCTGTCCATTTTTTAATAAAGCTTATCTGTTCTGAATAATTATAACAGCTACTTCAAATGTCCACTGTCTTTCTAAAGGCATCGAGCTCTTTTTACACGAAGATGGCTTCAGCAGCCTAATCATGCTTAATTATTTTGATTAGATTCATGATTAAAGTTAAATATAGTTGAAATTAGCTTCAGCTGAATGAGCTACCTCTCCAAAATGCTTCTTACATTGCAATGGGCTAATATGAATAATATTATAATATAAGGAGAATCATTTAACTGAACATTTAATGCAAGTTGTATAATTTCACTGTTAATAGTTTCTGTACATTCTACTAATACTTTGATTTCCTTGTATGATCATAAGATAAATAATTAAAAAAATTATTAACTATTAAATAATGTCCCATTCCCGAGTAAAAGGAGGCCAGTGTACATAACCAACTGAAATACCTCAAATAACCTTTTAAAAAGAGAGCAGCAACAATAGAACTGCAGCAGCAATAAGCGGTGCAGCACACGTCAGGTTCTCTCCTCATTGGACACCATGGTTTCCTCAAAGCTTCACACACTCTGAGTCGAAGGACTGCAGCACCATCTATCGACACAACGCGGCTCACTGGAACGCTCCCGGGGCTCCAGTGGGCAGGAAGTTGTCTTGGGGGGGCGTTGGTACAGCACACAAAAGATTCAATAATGGAAGAAGTGATTGTGCGTAACATCAGATAAATGAAGTTACTCCGTTTCGAATATCGTTGAGACTAAATGTACCTTCATCATTGCCAGTACAGGTGTGATCAGACAGAGCAGGTGAGGACTCCTGGCACGGCCTCCAAGTCAACTTTATTCCAGACATATTGGGAGTTTATATTCCTACATTTACTTGGTGTCAGATTTAGTTACCATGGCGACGTAATTGGCTGTAGGCCTGAAAACAATTACCCAGACCGCTTTGGAGGCGGAGTCTGTTGTCAGAGAGATGGAGCGCATTCTGACGCTTTCATCAGTATTAGACATCAGCGTTACAAGACAACACCGTGTTACGCTATAGTGAGAAAAATGTATTTCTGAAAACAATTACTGGGGTCAGATTTTCTTGACTTGATTCACAAAATAATAATTTTAATGAGTACAGCAGTCTGAAAATGATCCAACCCCTTCATTACAAGCGCTTCAGTACTTAGTAGATCCCTGCTATGACCTGCTGCAACCTTCTTTCTTTGCCATCTTCTTTGCACTCACTTGATGGTTCTTCACCACTTGCTTCCTCAGCATTTGGTAACTGGTAGCTTCCTCTTCCTGCCACGTCCAACTAGTGAGAACACGCAATCCTCGTGTCCTTTTTCCAATCAATTCAGCCAGTTTCCACTGCGCGCACACACGCACACCATTTGGAGTGCAGCTGCATAAAGAACGATATGTACATGAATATTGAATATATTCAGTCTACAATTCAAAACTAAATGGATCAATCTTCTTGTGCATAAATAAGAGGCAAGATAAACATTCCAGTGCTTTCATACAATTTATTTTAAAACATATTGCTTCTATAGATATGAATGACGATGACACACACAAAGCATGAACCTTAAAAATAGGGATGGTAGTTGAGACGCTTCAGTAAGGCTGAATGAAAACTTTTATTATTTACAGTTCAGATGATCTTTTGAAACAGTATTTGAAAAAAAAAAAAAAACACTACACCTTTTAAACACTATAGGGGTGTTCACCCACTGGCCTCCCTTTAAGTGTAAAACTACTAAAAATAGGTTAAAGCTTGACGTGTTCATTGGGCAACACAGGACTTATATGTTCACCACATGTCTGGTGTTTCCACGGCTCTTTGAAGAGATGCTACTCCTCAGGGAAGGCAATAGATTGTATAGTTATCTTCCAAACAGGGCAAAATCACTACCCCAAAACTATACAATCTACTACCTCATACTGTGTGAGCAAACGCCATAAAACATCGTATTCCTGTGCAGCAAAGGCTGAAGAACCGGCCTTCAGATGACGGGGAGCTTCCACTGAGAGGTGTAATTAGCACTTTGGGAAAGACAGTAGGTTTAATAGTTATCTCCCAGTGCGGGTATGACCGTAAAACTATACAACCTACTACCTCATCCCACAGTGCAAACATAACAAACAGACTCCCGGGTCAAAGACTTCAGGTCCTGTGAACCGGGCCAACAGCTGAGATCTGATTGGATAGAAGGTAACATGGATGACAAGAAGTTAGGCTCCACATCAATTATAGTACAGCTGAGGAAGCGGTGAACGAAACATGCATTTTAACTGTACCGATGGAAAACATACTTTCAGTCAACTAATTGAGTTAAAATACCATTCAGTTTTTGAGGGGCAACTGTAACTGTAATCTGAGCCCAAACCAACACGATGACGCCCATCTGAATGTTCCTTTAGCGTTCAGGACCACGGACAGCAGCTGGCAGCGGATCAAATATTGTGCTACGTTTTCTGATAAAGATTACCAAATGAGTGCATTCAGAATTACAGATGTGCGGCGGGAGATGACTGGCATAATCACCTGATTAATAATAGCCAATAAAAATCAAAGTAAGGACTACTTACACAGCTTTTTAAACTTGCTTTGTTTTGGTTGTATATTTTATTGGAGCTTAAGAAAACAGGCTCTTCTGTGAGTGTATTCCAAGTTTCTACCAACGGCAACAAGCAATAGATTAATGAGAAATTGTATTAAGCTTCAGGGGAAATAAACTGCGGCGCGACTGCAACATGGGAAGCACATTTTCTGTCTGGAAATGTTAAAATCCTATTACTGTTACTTCACTGATAAAAGGAGATGTGTCATCAAATGTAATCCAACTATGCAGGTGAAAAACCTACAGGTTACTTGAGGACCAGCAATGTCAAAACCATTGTTTTTTTTGTTTTGTTTTTTTAAATCTACCATTGAATGTATGAGAAAAATCTTCTTAATCTCCACAACTAAAATCCTGCTATGAGCTGAATGTCTCGACTTGAACTGAACCAATAAACAACGCAGCAGCAAATCGTACTTCTAATGTGATCACTATCCAGCTGGATAAACGTGAAACGTTAATAATATACTGATGTGACACTGAGCAAAAAAAGACTGCAGAGGCCAGCCGGAGCAAGAATTAACTAAAGCCAAATGAGGCAGGAGGCGCTTGTGAATGAAATGTTTTTGACACGAGTACTTTTAAATGACATTTTTTGTAACAATAACCATTAACAATTTTTCATCGGGCGCTTTTCTGTACCGTGACCTTTAACGTCCCTGCCGGAGACTGGACCGACACTCCTTTAACAGGCAAAGGAAGCCAGCCTGCTAACATTAGCTCAAATTACTAGCCAGCGTGACTGGGCAGTTAAGAAGGGCAACATCTTCTCTGGATGGTTTTAACCGTTAGGGATGTCCAATAAATCTGGTAATGAAAAGAAACGTTACATCTAGAGTGTTCGATACGTTGCTCCGCGTAATGCCAGCTACGTCAGTTAACCACTCCTTACAACGTGCTAACTAGCCCTGACTAGCTAACTGCTAGCTAGCAGCACGTTTCGGCATGGCTGTCCGGTAACGCGTTGGATAGCAGCGCAGCAGCTGGCTCTTCCGCAAGGACACAGCTCCAAATAGTGTTATAACGTTTTTAAAGACCATGGGCCCGGGCACTGAGCTATATTTATTAAAAATGTCTAGCTGCCACAGTTTACCCACCTGGCTGCCATGTCGGGACCGCTGCTCCACACCCTCTAACTGCTTCTTCTTCTTCTTCTGCTGCTTCTTCATCTTCTTCTTCGTGGGTGGATAGCGCAGCCTGCCACGAGCTTAGAGCCGCATCATCCGCCCCTGCTGTTTAGGAGTGTACACTGCAGCAGACCCCTAATGACCGAATGAACCATTGCGCCACAAATAACAAAGTCTATACTGTGTACATCCGTGTGCAGAGCAATATACGTCATTTACATAATTCAATATGTAAATAAATAATTAATTTAATATGAAATACATTTCCTTTGACAAAACGAAATCTGGTTAATCTCATCGCACCCCTCCTCGACATTTATCTTATTATATTCACTGTACATAATATTAAGATATTGGGTAATAATATTAACATATTAAGTTATATTCAGCAACTTTTGACAGTATTTATAAAAGAATGTTGGATTTCCCCAAACTCTGCGTAGTGTTAAAAATAAGATTTAAAAGGGCCAAAAGGAGAATCAGAGAATGTTGAAATCATTTTCCAATACAACAGAGGATATGGTCATTTTCCATGACTGGAGATTGTTTTCCCGGCTTACAAGAACATTTGGGAGCCTTGTATGTACTGGGCTGATTGATTATAACCCAGAAACAGGAACCCACTGTAGCAATGATGACCATTATATATGCATAATATAAACAAACACTAAATTCTAAGCTCCATCTCATGTTGATTTCCACATATACAGCTGTTTTTCATTCAAAAACGATGTATTGAATGTTTTTCCCTGTGTTCCAGGTGAGAGTACTGAGAAGACACCAGGAGGCACACTTTCCCTGAGCTGGCTGCTGAAAATAAAGCTGGTCAGCCTCAAATGGGTCCAATGAAAACACACGCTCTACATGGCTTCCAGTAAGTTGTTTAATTCTGTAAGAAGTAGTCTGAAAAAATAGTGCTTGTCGGACAAATTCCCCACAATACAACATCTCGTGTCGTTTCCATTAGTATAGTATTATTATTAGCATCAGTGTTCCGCATTGAGAACTTGTCAGCAGATCTACAATACATTGCATCCACATCCGAGAAATCTGAGGCGTCCACCGACTTGTTACACACACACAGACACACACACACACGCACACACAGGCAAGGCGAGGTTACACACAGCAGCGTGACACAGGCAGGAGGCCAGTGGAGATGAGGCAGGCAGCACTGTGCTGAATGCAGATCAAAGTCTGACCGATGCATGAACAACATAACAGTTTTTTTTGGTGCGCGGCGCCTTGAGGACATCGACAGGAATATGCACTGTGGTGCCGCTCAGGTTTGCATCGCCACAACAGCAGCCCCGGTTTGCATTTGGCGTGAAGAAAACACTTAGCGGCGGGGCTCTCCGCTATCGAACCGACGGTTGCATCTTTAAATGTGGGTAAATAAGACACGTCGTAGCATCTGCACAGTGTGAGAACATCACTTTGGTTTAAATAAGGAATCCTCTTTGACATTCAGAGTCTCGTTTAAATAGAGAAAGTTTCTCAGTCAACGACTCGAGAGTTAGATGATAAAAGTGACATGTAGTCCACGCAAAGATTACACTGGAAACAAAGACACGGAACACGCTGGCACATTAACAGAGGATGGCAGTGCTTAGACACTATTAAGAGCTTCCAACGGAAATAAGAAAGCGCGAAACCTTCAAAGACTAAAGATTGGCAGATCTCAGCGGTATCTGACGAGAGGAACTGGCTTCAATTACAATAATGCCCGAAAGGGAAGGCGGGACGCTGTGTGTAAGTCTCCTCTCCTCCCGTCGGACCGTCCCTGAGGCTCAGGAGTCTTCGTTCTCTTCCATAGCTTTGTCTCGCAGCTCATGAAGGAGGGGGGTCAGGGTCTGTTTGAGTACCGCGTACAAGGACTCGCTCTTTTCTGAGGCAGGGTCCATCTGGAGGGAGGAGAAAAAAAAAAAGAAAAGAAAAAAGAAATGAGAATTCCTGCCCTGCATAAGCCGACACGCAGCGTCATGTCAACGCTCACCTTGGTAAACACTTTTATCGCGTGGTGGAGAAAACGAGCCTCCACCGCTTCGGGCATTGGCAGCAGGTGAGCAGCACAGTCGAGGATGCAGAGCAGAGTGAGCCTGTGGCCCTGCGGCGGGAAGGACGGATCGTACCATCAGAACATTAGGGTAACATTACACCTCTCACACATGCTGTGGCTCTGTCGTGCCCTCAATGCGTTCACAATGAGACGGAACCAGGATTCTCATTGGCTGTGATAACGCTGCGCTAACGACGGCCTCGCGGCGCTCCGGGACATCGGTGCTGTGGAGGACATTCGAGCCCGCTACCTTTTCCAGAGAATCGAGGGCGTTCTGTGGGTTGACGCTCTTCTCGCTGAGGGCTTTGGCGTCCTCGCTGCTGATGATTGGATCCTTGAGCTGCTCCAGCCAGGACCACATGAGACCAGAGAGGACGAGAGGATCTCTCTCCACGCGTAGCCTCTCCCACGCTCCCTCCCTGGAGTTCAGCTCCGCCTGCACATCCCAAAAAAAAGGGCAGGAATGACCACGAAGATTCACAAAGCAACCAAATGGCTCTTTTCGTTAAGATTGTTGTAATCAAACCGCGCTGAAATACGACAATGATTTAGAAAAACTAGGAGCTAAATTCTGATTTCCTCCAGTAGAACGACAAGGCTGGTATCATCATATGCATCATGGCTAAACATCAGCTATGAAGAAATAAGGAGCTTTAAACAGGCACGAACATTTAGGAATATTTGCTACCTGCCACATTGACACCTTGGAGGTGAATTCCTTGTCTGTGTGTTCCATGGCCAGAGCTTTGGCCACCAGCAGGCGCCTGCCCTCCTGGGACAGCTCAGACTGGGAGGTGATGGAGGGAAGTTCTCCTCGGCCCGCTGGCGCCTCCGTACCCGGCTGCTCCTGGCCAGGAGGAGCTCTTCCCTGCTCGGACAGGGCGAAGGGCAGACTCTGATGCCCCTGGCGGGGCGGCTCTCTTAATGGCAGGGACCCCGCGTCTTGCTCTGCGTCCGTGTCGCCGCCCCGAGTGCCGATGTCCTGAGGGGCGAGCTGGTAGAACCGGCCCGCCGTGAGGCTGCTGTGAGACCAGGAGTGTTTCATCACCCCGTTGGTCGGTTGGCTGCTCGTCAGATTTCCAAAATGGTCATTGTGCAGTGGCCCAAGTTTGTGGAGGACGGAATCGCTGAGGCTCCTGTTGTTGGACAGGGTGGACATCAGGGGGCTTCCTGCATCCCGGCACAGAAGGTCCAGCTCATTGTCACTGGCGAGGGGCCGACCGCGAGTGGCACCGGGCTGCCTAGCGGGGGGGCCGAGGGGGGGGAACAGACAGGGAGGCACGGGGATCCCCTTCACCCTCATCTCCTTGCCGAGCTGCTGCAGGGCTTGCCGCGACACGGTCTTCTCCACCTCGGCCGTCAGGTCGGGGATCTGCGGCCGCTCCTCCCCCATCACCACCTGTCTGTCGGCCGCGATGGCCGCGAGGAGCGCGCACACCACGTGGACCACCTTCGGCACGTTCTTCATCTGGCGCGCCTCGTAGCCGTGCAGCAGGTGGCGCTGGCGGGCGAGGTACTGGGAGAGGGTGACGGCGCCGGCCCCGGGTTCGGCGCAGGAGAAGACGCTCCGGAGGGGAACCAGGAACTGGGCAAACTCCCGGACGCACAGCAGCTGGCCTCTGGTCTGGATGGAGTTGGGCCTCTTGGCTCGCACAAACAGGATGGCTTGGTCGGCGCTCATCCGCGACGTGAAAACCAGGTAACAAGCCAACAACACGCCTGCATGACGGCAGAAGATAAAATACTTCACTGACATTTGACAAGCATGGATGAGCATTTAGAGGGCGGGTCCATCTCCAGGGTTCTCAAACAGAGTAGTGACATAGGTTACCAAGGTAAACTCGTCAAAAAGGTATGAGTTATGTGAATACTAGCATTAACTGACTTGGGTAGATAAACTCAAATAAATGTACCCGCTCTTTGAGCCATGTGCCAAAGTGAGCGGTGTAACCAACCTGTTCTTCCGAGCCCGGCGTGGCAGTGGACAGCCATTTTACCCTCCTGGACGGCAAACGACATGACCTTCACCATGTCGAGGATCGTAGTCAGAGAGGCCACACCGTAATCCTTCCACCCAAAGTTGTAGTAATAAACTGAGCCGCAAAGCCAGAAGAATTCAGAGCTGGTCAAGCATCCACATTATTTGCACCACAGTGTTGAAGCAATGGAGGTTCATCAGAAAGACACGCGTGTCCGACACATGAAAGGTGTACGTGCAGAGGAATCGACGGGGGGGGGGGGGGGGGGGGGGCATGTTACTGTGTGCCCGGACGTAAAGAAAGGGGGGCAAGGTTGCCGCATGGTGGAAGGGGAAACACTGATGTCTCTCCAGATCACACATGTGAGCCTTACTCCTCCCGCAGAGTAAGTGTGTCCAGAACCGAAGCCATTATGGGAGTAACATGGTTGCATTCTCACAACTAGCAACCAGGGGGCGACTCCTCTGGGTTGCATGGAAGTTAATGAGAAAATATCTCTCTGGATTTATTCCCTCAGTAAACATTGTACACATCGGTCTATGTCTCAATCTCCAGTTGCAAGTCTTCTCCAATACAGCATGAGGTCCATTTAGTAAACAATGGTCTGATTAGAGTCAAATAGACAATAGAGCTGGGTATGATTTAGGGCGGGCCTACAGTGTGATTGACAGATCTCTACCATGATCTTGGCCAGTTTGGCTATTGTCAGCTTTTTTGCCTATTTCCCCAAGTGTTGTTGACGTCCTTCACTCATGCATCTCTTACACCATTTTAGAAGTATAAGTTCACACTGAATCTGAAACGCCTCACTTTTTGTCCCGTTCAGTGACGAGTAATCTGCACAGACAAAGATATCCAGACTTCAGAACGGTGTGAGATCCTGAGAAGACGCCGAAGCGCGATGTCGAGCCGGGAGCTCGTGAATCGGGTTCATGCGAAGACTCACTTCCAGCCTCCATGAAGGTCTCGGGCCGATAGGCGAAGCCGCTCTCGTGCTCCAGCGGGTTGCCACAGCTGGCGTGTTCTCCGGGCCGCTGCAGGTTAATGACCGTCTTCAACCCGCACCTGAGCGCCGCGGCAGCACAACACACATTACAGAGCAATGAAGACACGTCTTCACAGTCCAAACGTTAGTAGAAGAAAGCTGAGAAAGAAGGAGACGACTGTACCTTTGAAATTGTTCAATTACATGAAATTTCTCTATGATTTCAGTGGAAGGCCTCGCCATAGCTAGCAAGTTGTCAGTAATCCTGGAAGTGGAGAATATGACAAGTTAGGGGGAGTTGTGTTAATCAAAAAAATGATCAGGGTAAAAGACAGATAGCAACCCAACTGTATTGTGCATTATAGTTCTGAAATTATGTCTTTAAATAGGCAAATTAGACGTGATCTATTAACTATTTACTAACTAGCATGAATATCAGAAACATTGGATGAAGTCCAAACTCTTGTTTAATTTATTTGACATGTTGAGGGTTTGCACAGAGACATGTCTTTGTATCAACCATTTCAAAAATATGTTTTCAGGAACAAAATGTAAATCAGGATGGGAATGAAATGAGTCAAAGTCTTCCGAACATGGAGAGGAAGGACAAATGTAAACTGACATGTTTTAACACAACACGGGTGGATATGATGAATAAATTACCCAGTTGATTCCTTACATTATTACACTTTTTTTCTTTAAATTTAATGTTTCAATAAGCTAATAAGGCACGATTACATTTAGAGGAAATCTACAGATCAAATTAGGAAAGTGTGCACCTGATTATGCATTTTGGATTTTTTCTGTCCGCTCGTTGTCATGGAGCCAAATAAACCGTCCCCTCTAAATGAGCCGGTGCATGAATCGCTGTAAATGTGTTTGCTTTCAGCGTCACCCCTGCAAACACACTCGTACAGAAGTGTGTGTCACGCGTTCAATGTTTCCACTTGAAAAAAAGGAAAACAAGCCACAGTAGAATAATCAGAACAAACATATCGGCTTTTCGTGTCGCTATTGACGTCGACTCCAGTGACCCGGACGGGAGGACGGCCAACGTACCAGGACGAGTACAGCCCTTTGACGGCCTGCTCCTCATCGCTCCATCGAGACGGGTTCTCATACTTGCAGGCTTTCCCCCCGCACGCCATGGAGCACTGCATGTGACCGGGGATGACGTGCCTCAGGGTCTCCCCCATCTTGGTGTACTTTGCTGTAGGGACCCGGCCACTGGCTGGTAGTTGGTGGGGGAAGAGAAAAAGACACATAAGAACAATTAAACAATACTCAGTTTCTTAATACACCACGCCTGTGCAGCGTAAGTCAAAGCGCTAAACCCCTAAAGCCCTAAAAGCGAGGGCAATGTCGTCCGTGTGCCGGTTACATCTCCTGGCGCCGCGTTCGAGCTGCTTCACGCTGACAGCCGCCATCGCTCTGTGTAAGGAGGCGGAGAGCGTCTCCAGGGCAGAGCTGCGTCTGCGCCGCAGGGCCTTCAGCAGGACGTCCGGGGCGGAGTGCCTGCGGTCGCGCCTCCTCGCGCCACTCGCCATCGCCGTGGCTACGGACCGCCGTCCTCGGTGGCGCTGCATGTCTCTGCCGACTGCGCCCGCTTTACTCACGACAGCGACCGGGCTCCGTGCCAGCCGTGAGTCATTGCACGACATCAGAGAGAGAGAGAGAGGGGGCAGCAGCAGCATTTGATGTGTCACCATGACGACCGCATCCAAAGTCGTCGGCGGGAGGTGGACGATTGACACACACACACACACACAGACGCACACGGATCTGAGGGGCCTGCACCACTGAAGGACACAACCACGGCGCAATGGCTAAGAACACAACACTTTCTCTGATAAAACTTGAAATAAAGCTTTCTTTGTGGAGCATATATCTTGTTGAAAGCATTCCAATTTAACTTGATTAATTAGAAAGGCGAGAATGTCCACATATTTACAACTGAAACCAGCTGGAGAGACTACATTGTTCAGGGAAGCGCTTCTATTCTAACTATATGTGCGTGCTTGGCGACGGTGGCTCTGTGCAGCCGGGTTGTTTTGTGGTTGGAATTAAGTATTTAGATGTGGGAGGCTACCATCCTGTTGCACACAAACATATGGATATTAATAAAAAGACATAAAAGTGTGGAAGCTACAAGTAGCCTACAGATAGATCTCACAGGTTGTCCGACTTGAGCCTCGTTTTCCCAAAATGCTAAATGATAACGTTGATGACGTTGATAGCGCCTAACCCTAACACCAACAACGCTTTAAATCAAGTTTGAGTATGAAAATTCACTAAATTAGTTTAGATTTTAGGATTCTTATGGACCACCGTTTGATTGGGTGACACCAGCATGGGTTGCCACGGTTACGCTTCTCCAACCAGCCAGGAGGCTCTCAGGAAGCTGCGACATTTCAGCGTGACCGAAAAGATACACACTACCTGTGTGTTGACCGATAGCACGCATGGAGATGGATCTGCCTCCCAGAGAGATGCTCTGCTCGTGGGGGAGGAGGGAGAGGATGGGGGGGGGGGAGACGCCGCTGCTGCCGGGAGCTGAGCTCTCCTCCTCCCTCCTGCGGGTTGAAGATGGCAGAGAAGCTGGACCTTCTCACTGATGGAGGTCACACAGGCATTAGTATTAAACTGAGGCGTGTTCAGAGGCGGTTCCTCGTGGTGACTGAAGGATTGGTCAAATTAGGAAATTTGCTCAAACTGTCTTATTTTGACCTGGTGGGGGCGCTAACAGAACGATAATCTCGGAAACAACTTCAGCCCTTCAAAAATAAATAATTGAGCAGAATTATCTCCTGAGGCGCGATCTGTCACATCCATGATGACGGACGTCTTATTTAACCACCATCAACACTAAAAAGATCCTAGTGTCTTCTTTCATTAACGTGTAAACATCCATCTTACCAGCTGCAGGAGGAGAGAATTCTTCCCAAGACATGACCCCTGCTTGTTTCAGAGGCGGCCTGCAAACACCCCTCTGCCCCCAGATTCAACGTTTTCACCAACACGACATGAAAGAGGCACGTTATCGTCACTGAATGACTGAAAGACGGCCCACAGTCCACATGCCGCATTCGCAGCGCACGTGAATCCAAAAAAAAAAGACGTTGGGTTCCTACCTGTCTCCATCTCGCTGTCGATCTCCGCACTGCGAGCTCCACCCGCGGAGCACGGCGGGCTGCTCAGTAGGCTGACACCGGCTGCCATGGCAGGGGCTGAAACGGGCGGATAAACATTGCGCGTCAAAGGGCGGTGATGAAAAATAAATAAATAAAAGTGGCGAAACGAAAGACGGTCTGGATGTGCCGATAACGCTAACGAGGTGCACACACAAACGAGGTGGGAGGAGTGCCGTTGCCCGGCAAAGTCGTCCCAGGAGAGGGGGAGTGTGGGGGAGGAAGGGGGGAGGAGAGGGGGGGGGGGTGTTTGTTTGCAAAGTGAGCCACCGTGTCAGCAGCTCCTGTGTCAGCGCGGTGGTTGCACCTCTTGGGGGGGAGCTGGGAGGTGCCGAGTTACAGAGCGCCGCCGTCCACCTGCCAACGCTTTAAAGTGCACGAGAGAGATTGAGGCATAATCCCCGTCTCAATTATTCAGGCGAAAACACCGCCTGCCATTGTGCGCCTCTCGCTGCCGCCCCTCTTGACTTGCACTTTTGATTTTTGCAGCCGGATATCAGGCTGGCGTCACGCGGGTGTGTTAATGGGCGTCTCTCGTTCCAGCCACAGCTCTGAGGGAAACCTTTAGCTTTTTCTTTCCTCCTCGATAAGGTGAATTAACGAGGCTTAATCAGAGAGGAAGGCGGAGACCAGACGTGGAGGATTTGAGCAGGTTTCTGTGTCTGTCTGACATGACTTCACCAGTTGTAACGAAGATGGCAGCACGAAAACAGAACCAGGCCAAGTAGTACAGAACTTTAGGTCCCGAGAGGTTGTTTACATTTATTTTAACTGTATTTTAGAGGGGAAAAGTCACAAAAATGTCAACGGTAGTCAATGGTGAGAGAAAATATTATTATACTGTGAATTCTAATTTACTAATTCACACAAATAATGTTTGACAAGTTCCAAAAATCCTTTATCAAGTCAAGAACACCTAATGACAAGGGGGTGGGGGCACAAACCTGCCTTGGTACCGTGTGATGAAAAGCGATAAATGGTCACATGACCACAGACTGTACGAAGTACACACAGTCATCGAGGCGATTCCTACGTCACCACCCTGGATTGCTCCTTCTCTGCAGCCGGTGAGCGGATGTCACCCTATTTGGAACGCAGAGTGAAACAGAGACACTCTGAAAGCAGCGGAGACCTGTCAATCACAGTAAGCCCCCCGCCTATCAGCTGCAGCAACTCTTGATCCAAGAACCCAGTTTGTCACAGTCTTTGACTTGTACCGGAGGTACTAGTGACATTACAGCAGTGGCAGCTGTGCTTCATGCAGGTCTATTCATGAACACGCAATAAGCCACCAGTCACTTTGTCCTATTCTCACACGTCTCTGTCACCAGGGAAACAAAGTATGTTTGTACATAATGAATGAACATTAGTGCGAGGATAGTGGTTCAGAATTTTTAAGAGCCCATATCTGGAAAATAGACTTTGTATTATATTGATCAATCAACACTTGTCTGTTAAAAAGATGGCAGGTTGTTTGAATTAATAGTGAGAAACATCTTGAACCGCTTCAAAGAGAAGTGCCACTAACGTTAAGAGCACCACTTCTGTGAATATTGATGGTGTGAAGTTGGAGCCCCACTTTTTCCACCCACAACTGATTTGGGGGGGGGGGTTTAAACTGTAATCCACACGTCTTGTCACAAACCAATACGGCACCAAAACCCAGCACGACAGCGGCTGAAGCGTTTTCCAGCGCCGCGGGGGCGGGCAAAGAAGCCCGACGCAACGGGCCCGTCCTGCTGCAGCCCGACACCGCTTGGCCTCGTTCGTAGGAAGCTCTCGATAACAAGCTGGTGAGTGGGAAGCACTCTACGTGACAAGTGTGACGCGTGCTCATCGATTATTAACAACGATATGACACCAGGCCACCGTACCACTGCAAATGAATCTCCTCAATTAGCCGCCGCCGCCGGTCTGGAGCGAATGAGGCGAAGCGCTTGGCGGCGGGGAGCCCGGTGTGTTGGCGGACATGCGAGAGACGAGGTGCGAAGGCCCGAGACGCTGCTGGCGAGTTGTGGGACGTGGGTCGTGTTGACAAAGAAAGACGGCGCTCCTCACACGGCGTCTCAATGAATCTGTGTGTGGCGGGGAGATGACGGGGAATATTCACAGGGAGTTATGGGAATCAAAAGGAAATCGAAAGAGTGCAAATGGAAACAAAAGGTTGGGATAAGCAGGATAAAAAGGATTCACAATACAGCAACCTGTCTGTCAAATGGTCCCGATAAGCAAAGTAAATGTACCAAGTATTCGGTGAGTAATGCTTACAATCAAATCATTACAGTCAAAAATCAAATAATATCAGGGATGGTAAACAGCAGACACCTTAAATTACAATGTCGACCATTATTCTCTATCAACGTTCAATACAATCTCACCTCACTGAACACTGAGCATTCAGACGTTTAACTGCATGGAAACTGTGGGTTTAAGCACTCGGCCACGAAACAGGATGCACTGTTTAGGTTTGGTGAATAACATCAACCATGGTGTTTTTCTGACGACAAAGGTCCGTGCGCGGGTTCCAAAGCCGTGGAAACGAGATGATGGCGACACGCTGGTGTTTTAACCCAGAGCAATAATGTTGAAGCCGCCTGAGAGCACGGAGGCGACTTTGACGGCGTAAAACCTGACAGCGAGCGGCGGCAAAGGGGCGAAGGCCGCAGCAGCAGCCTGCCGACAGACTGACGCCGGCGTTCGGCGCGCTCGATTCGGCGTACACGGCACACGAGCTAAAGGGCTAAACGGCTAAACGCGACGCTAGCTCCGCCGGCCCCCGTCGGGAAACAATTGGTGGCTGGTGCTGATGCTGCGAGCGCCGATGCTAACGCTAGCCGGTGCTAATTAGCTCCGCCGTGCCGCGGGCCCGACTCACCGTTATCCGGCCGCCCGACGCGTCTTCGCGGTGTCCGACGCGGCTCACGTCGGACTCGTGTCTCCCCCCGCGAGGCGGCTCGGTCGCGGGCACGAAGCAAACCGGGGTTTTCTCCCGCCACGTCATTTGGTCCGCTAGGCGCGGCTAGCTCACGAGCTAACTTAGCGGCCAGACATTGTTGTCGCGGGACGGAACGGCCCGGCCCGGTGACGACGTCACGGGACCGCATACTGAGCTCGGTCAGCGGGGTTCTGTCGATAGAACCACCACGTGTTCCGCGTTCTGTCGACCAACGCTGAAGGGCTTTGTGTCGATGGCTTTTCATTAACATGGGGAATTTAAAACAACATGTTGGTGCAACACTGTAATAAGTTGTGTGAATGTCTGTTTCTTTTTATGCTTTGGGTTCTGTTCTTTTCGTTTCCTCCAATCATCTATGTTTGCGTTTTCGGAGTTATTTCAATTAAAACAAGTTAAAAGGTGTCCTGTATCTTACTGAATAGTGGCACTGTGTCCCATGCAGCTTTTACCCTGAACACAACGCTTGACCTCAAGCAAAAAGGTCACACTCACTTTAGGCCCTCATTTGATTATCTGTGGATATTACATACATTCGTTGTGCTTATTTTTTTAATTAAAGGGGATGTGTAAAGACAAGTTTGCCGGTTCCCTGATGGCAAAATAATGCCATAGAAGGATGAAATCCAATGTATTCATTATTTAAAAAATATGTAGATATGCATTGTGTTTGTGTGGGGACGATTGAATTCCACGCTGAGGCAACTGCATTATTTCTTCTCTATTTAAATAAGCCAGCCGGGTCAGTGACTGGCGAACAGAAGAAAAATCTCTGCAGAAGGAAGCCACAGCTCGGCGTGTCTCTCTTCAGAGGTCCTCTGGGGCAACCTAGTGGCTGCTTGCATTGATGAGTTTAGTTCTGCAATGTTTGAACAGCATCACGGAGCGTTTACCAGCCATCGTGACATCTTCCAAAAATCGTTTTATTTAGTAAATAACACTTTTTAAAAACAGGAAGACATAGAGATGTTGAAATTTCCAAGTGCCATTGAATTCCTCTCAGATTGTATGCTTCAAATCAAGCACACAGAAGAGATAGATTTAGGTCTTGGTCAAGCTTTACGTTTAGTGCGTGGACAAAACTAATCAAATCATGGAATCAGCATGAGGGTTGAGTCACTGCATTGAAGGTTGAGGTTTTCTTGCCTTGTATTTAACTTTCACAGAGAATATTTGGGCCCAGAGTTTAAGTCCTATATGTTATAAAGTTACTAGGGAGCATTGTCCCACATGGACCCAGATTGAAGGCCATATATCAAAAATGCAAGACCCTTCCTGTAAAAACATATGAAGATCTTCTAAATGGTCGATGGTGGGGGGGAAGTTCTCAACTCGGATTGTGCTGCCTGGCATATAGGATTCTTGAAAAAGTTATTTAAGGAAAATATACATTTTGTTAAGGGAGCTTAACCAATCTGAAGCTCCCGTCCCAAAGGATAAAGGGGTTTTGTCCAATAGTCAAAGAATAATCATGAGGAAACCCTGAATGTTATTCAGATATGACACAAATGTGCCTTGAGAAGTAGCCGACAGATGTTCATTAAGACTCCTCCATTTCCATTACTACATAGTCCTAATAACTATATAATATTTGTGTTATTATACACGTTTATAGGGTGGGTGAAATGCTGTAGGACATGTCTCTGGATATACAGGGAGAGATCTTTGGGTTCCACCATTTCTGGAAAAATGAATAAACAAGTGTTTAAAAGAAGAAAAAAACATTACGCAAATTTAGTTTGACAACCGGAATTTTCAAATATATTAATAAATATAAATATTTGTGCAAATATTAATAAATATTTGCACAATAGTGCAGCAATTGTAGACACAGCAGATAACAGGGAGCGCATCACACTGCACTGTATGAAAACTCTCCTTGCAATCTGAACAGTGACCAGGAGAGGAAGACGTGTTCACGGCAAACCAGCTGGAGATGAAGACTCACTTACGGCGCATATGAACATCTCGAGGAATACGTTGTTCACCACTTGTTCCTGAAGACAAGATGAGTTTTTGAGTGTTTGATTGAGTTGGCAGATGGAATAAGAGCTTCATTCACAATGTGGTATAAATAATACTGGTTATGATTCACAGGAGCAGTTTGATTATTAAGGACAAATTGTCTTATCCGGATTTCGCTTCCTTTTTTGTTCCTCAGAAACCTGACTTTGTGTTCCAAAACATGACATGATTCACATTCTTTTGCAGGATTTGGTATTTAATACCATACAAAACTACATTAACAGGACCCTCTGCTACATCAAGAGCTCTGACTCTTACTTAAAGTTTCTGTGGGTAAGTGGCTGTGAACGCGTCTCCCTTTGACCTCCAGCATTAAACGAGACCATCAGAGGGAAGATGCTTTATTTCTATATTAATGCTCGTCCTTGGGGAAATGATGCTGGTGAAATCTGATTAGACAACTGCAGTAAAAATAAGTTTTCTTAAGCGACTCTGGTGCTCAGAGACACTAACACTTTGGCCCGCAGGGAGGACACAATAAACATGAATCTCCCTAAAGTAACCCCATAAGGGGTTCACTATTTAAGAGCAATTTATCATTCAGCAGCCACTTAAATCTGCATTAGGCTTCCTGCGTTCCACTTCCATACTGCTTATAAACTCACTTGTTCTTTTGGTTCCAACGTGTTCAGGGATGCGTGTAACCTTTTGACGCTTGTGTCACGTGTGAAGAGAAGGCAACAGATTTAAAGAGGGAAAAACATAATTTGTGAGAAGCATTCAAACTGGGAGGTTTTCCGGGTTTCTCAGAGCAGTCCTGCTAAAAATACGCTGTGGGCGATGTTTCACCATCTTTAAGGCAAATAACCACAGAGGGGGGAAAAATCTCAGAAGAGTTCTAGTGGGTTTGTGTGTGTGTGTGTGTGTTTGAAGGCTCACTGGCATTAATCATCTCATCTTATTTAATCTTTCTCATGGGTTTGTGTGCGTGTGTGTGTGTGTGTGTGTGTGTGTGTGTGTGTTTTAAGGCGTCAATTATCTTATTAATCTTCCTCACTATGAGTATTTTGGTTCAGTTTGGAAAAAAATAAAAAACTTTTGAAAGGAATCTTAGGGAAAAAGTAAAGTTCACGTTTTGCACTTCCTTACCTTACATGTCACGCGCATTATAAAGCTCTGCTGCAAACCGAAAGCCAACGCATCCTCCTTCTCTTCCTCTCTATCGTCTGTATCTTTCCTTATCACTCAGTCACCTGCAGCTCATTCCGAGTATCCGGCCTTACTTTTGCCTCTTTTGCATATAAATCCTTGCAGGACACGTGCGGCTTTGCATGTAACTCTTGTCTCCTCGCGGACGAGCCCCGCAGGAGGCGGAGCTCCGCGAGGAGACCCATAAAACCCGAAGCTCTGCTCCTCCGCTCACTGCACAAGGTGACGCGCTCAGCGGCGCACGAATCGCTCCGACCTCCGCGGCTCGTGCGCGCACACACACTCTCACACACACACGCGCACACACATGCGCGTGCACGCACACAGCAGCAGGAGCAGCAGCGGCGGCAGCGGCGGAGTGGGCATGAACGCGGTCGGGTTCGGGAGTTTTCGGTCAGAGGTTCGCTCCCGGATCCACATTTCTCCTCCAGGAAGAACCAAACCCAAACAGAAGTAACGCGTAAAGGCCGGCACGGGACCCCGCGGAGAAGCCCTGCCGCCGCCCCAAAGGATACCTTTGATCCGCAGTCTCGATCCGCGGATTACGGAGGCCTCGCAGCGGGGATGTGACAGCTGCTTTGGGCCACAGAAGGGAGCGACAATCGGTTTCTGTTTTGCGGCGACCACACGGCCGCATAATGCAGCATCATTTGGACCTGGGGGGGCATTACTTCGCACCGGAGGCTCAGCCGCACGACCACAGGACTCATCGCTACAGGAGTTTCATGATCGAGGAGATCTTGACCGACCACCCGCAGCACAAAGCGTCGGCTCCGGCCGGGGAGCTGCTCAAGTTCGGGGTGCAGGCTCTGCTGTCCGCCCGGCCCTTCCACAACCAGCTGGGTAAGGTGTCATGCTGGGAACTGAACAAATGACATATTATTACATATTAGTGAGAATTATTTTAAATTGACATATTGAAGTCCGTATTTGGCGCCTGATAAAAAAAGTATTTCGGGGAAAAACAAGTTTTTTTTTTCTTTTTAAAATTGAGTTTTAGCAAATGTCTTAGAACAATCAAGCAAAATTACACATAATAATCGACATTATTGAGTAAATGTATCAGTTAAATGAGACAATTGGAGAATTCATTTGTATTGAAAAGAAGAGGATATGTCTCATTTTGCAAAAACAAAAACATAACGGCTCCCAAATAAACAGAATAAAATACTGAAAGAATACTATTGTATATATATATATATGTTTAGGTTGCATACGAAAATGTAACTATTATTTTACTTTTATTTCGTAAAGCCCAAAACCACAAATGAACAATTCCCTTCACGGGGCTTTACAATCTGTACACAGCCTCCGTCCCGGGAAACTTCAAATGCAAATGTTTTTTTTTCTCAGTTAGGTTTCAGTTTAATGCGTGCATGAAGTATAACAACTAAAAAGGAACCAGCAGATGTTGTATTATATACTGATATTCCTGTTAAAAAAAAGAAACATTTTCAAAATAAGGCTGCGCGTTTCAATTACACATCTGGATTTGTATCTATCAGGGATATTTCCTTCATTAATATTTATAATCGTGTTTTATTAAAGACACATTCCCAACAAATAAAGCACGCGAAGGGCCATGATGCTAAAATTGTCAAGAGCTGAAATTATAGTTTGTATCGAGCTGCTTAACGCCTGTAAAAATACAGATGTTTTTATTACAATACAATGAATAAACAGCTAACAAGATGCCCATAATTACGTTTCGGGCTAAGCAGATGAGGTCCCACTGCTATTGCTCGTTTTACCTAATTGCATGTCTATATTTGTCATAAATGAATATTTTCAGTCGGACGTGCTGACCTGCTGTCTGTAGTGTTGGATGTGTGTGTGCGCGCGTCACAGACTGGTCAAAGCCTCCCTGAAACCCACCCGAACCACCAGCATAACCTGAGCCACAGGATCTAAGATCAAACCCCTCCGTGTCTGCGTGTCTTCTCCCCGGTCCCTCCAGTCCTTAAAGCCGACCAGACCAGCCTGCTCAAGTTCCCCATGTCCCCGCTGGCCTGCTCGCTGGGTTCCCCGCTCGGCGCGCAGCTGCTGTCCGCCGCGTCGGGCCTGCAGATCGGCGCGGCGTCCCACCACCTGCCGCTGGACCTGCACCTCCGCGGGAAGCTGGAGCACGGGCCCGACGCGGGCGGCAAGAGCAAGAAGGGCCGCCGCAGCCGCACCGTGTTCACGGAGCTGCAGCTGATGGGCCTGGAGAAGCGCTTCGAGAAGCAGAAGTATCTGTCCACGCCGGATAGGTGGGTTTGATTGGACCACCTTTTTCAGCAGAGAGAATTGTCGCCAACTCATCTAAATTGTGGATTATTGTTTTTTTCCCCAAATAATTAAGCTTTCAATAAACCTTTTATTTTAACAAGTTTTACAATATTGTGTCCATGTAAAAGTACAAACACGTAGACATTAAAAAAAATGTAAAAAATGTTATCAACATTTTCCCCAAACCAGGTGATGACCTATAGGGGTTTATTCGAAGAGAGACATTGTTGGCATGCTGCAAAAATAATGATTTAATGGATTCATTATGCTGATATAAATTAGAATCGGCTGACCATTCGTCCAAAATACAGATAAACAAAAAGCAAAAGGAAGTTAAAAGACCAGGACAAGATGTGGAGTTATTGATTGTGTCCGTGTCTTTGTTCCACACAGAATAGACCTGGCTGAATCTTTGGGCCTCAGTCAACTGCAAGTGAAAACATGGTACCAGAACAGGCGGATGAAATGGAAGAAAATCGTAAGTTAGTCCTCATATGGGGGTGATGATGATGATCATGGATGTGATGATGATGATGATGATGATGATGATGATGATGATGATGTGGTAGTGGTCACTGTGTGTAGTTAAGGCCTGCACCAACAAATGCATCGGTCTGTTTTTATGTTATTTCAAGAGACGTTGACGGGAAACGTCGATCCGTGAATGTATAACCGGGGCATAAGAAATTATATAGAATTTGTCATATCTTTAAATTTGGCATGGAGAATTGAGAAGGAAAAAAAAAGCAGCTGTCTGAAACTGTATTCGTCGAGTGTGTTGGAGGGAGTCACATGTGCTTCTTCTTAAAATGACCCCCCCACCCCGCCGACTGAAGTCTCTGCTTGCGTTCGACCCGCAGGTGCTGCAGGGCGGCGGCCTGGAGTCTCCCACCAAGCCGAAGGGCCGCCCGAAGAAGAACTCCATCCCCAGCAGCGAGCAGCTCTCCGAGCAGCAGTCCGAGGGCTCGAGCTGCCACTCGGAGAACACCCAGGAGGAGTGACCCCCCCCCCCCCCCCCCGGGACCCCCCTACACGGCAGCCGGACGGACACTCCTGGGTCCCCGTGCGCGCAGAGCATGCCGGGAGGTGGGCGCCGGGGCTCCTGAAGCCGGCCCGTCCCGCGCAGGCGTCACAGAAGCCTCGCGGAAAAGGCCTGAACTGTCCACGCGCGCCGACATCCTCCAGCGGCCGCGTGCTGTTGTTGTGTTGTTGTTGTTGTTTCTTACCACGCGCTGCCTTGGTGGTGAGCTCGCTGCTGGGGGGCAGCTGACACCTTCGCAGTAGGTCTACCCTTCTATATTCTAAAGAGATACGTGTCTTTGCATTCCCTTTGTGTAACTAAACTGTTTAATTATTAAATATATTTTCACAAGTAACTGTTCTTTGTTTATTCAAGGCTCGTGGGGATCAGCATGCGGCTATAATCGTAGTTACACGCATGCGCGTTGTCTTTTCCTGTTAAGGTTCTTTATTGTGTTTTGAGGGAGAACAATTGGTGTTGACTTGTACCCACTGATGAAAAATAGACATTTTCATTTGATCTAAAAATATTTTTTGAATCCGGTGGAGCAAACAGTCGCTACGTAAAGTTGTGGCTTTGTGTGAATGTATTTTATTCTGCAAAATCAGCCCACTTGTTGCAATGGCAGAATTAATCTTGCGGTTCGTGCCCCAAAATCTCCCATTTTCCTCCTTCCTTTTTGTATTATTAGATATCGTATTCTTGCCAAAGGACACACCAGGAACCAGGAATCAGGAACATTTATTGCCAGAACAGCTCATACATATGGGGATTGGACATGACGGTTGGTGCATAACACTGGACAGTAAGACAGGGGGACATTGGACAACAATACAAATAACACAACATTATGCAGAGCTGGCTGGTGGTGGTTGTACTTGGATGGGGTTTTAAAAGCAGTCACATTGGAAAGATTTTTTTTCTCATTATACTTTATATTGATTTACGAGTTAACGTTGAACGTTACATTGAGTATTGACGATATAAATTTATTTTTATAATTTTCTATTTGTTCTCTCCATAGAATTCGTGCGATGAAAACACGCCCTTCCTTGTCTCTCAGTGGGAAAACTTTTCATTTTAACCTCAGCCACACGTCTCAGATGCTTTATTCCAGCCTTCCAATTTGAAATCCATCAAATGGTTATAATGACTTCTGTTTTAATTAGTGCTTTAAATAAATAGCATGTTTTAAGGTCCAGAGGGACAAGTATCCAAATTAGTTTTATTAGATCAAATGACCTTAATGGAAATCCTCACACACACATTTCCTCACGTGCTTATTTTTCTTATAATAATCAAATTAGCTCATACTTGCTTTAAACAATATTCATATTTTCATTATATATTTTTTTAATTAAGTTCATATGTTTATAATGAAGGCTAGTCTAGTTTTCTGCAACATATTAGACATCGGTAGAGCATTCAAACAACTGCATTTCAACAGGCTCTACATATCTTCCTCCGCGTTGTTACACGACTATTTCGCTTCTCTTTTCAAGCGAGTATAAATATTTAACACTGTGCTTATTCACAAAGTTAAACTGAGTCGCTCAGTTCTAATCAGAGGAGACATAAAGTGCTATTTGGTAAGAAACAAGCGTCTGAAACATGAAAACAAGTGGAAATGTCACGTGACCTCATATCAGTTTGGCAGCACGCGGCCTTTTCCCTGAACGGTCTTATACTCGCGTGCTCTTTACTGCGCCAATAAGGTTTCGCTTTAGTGTGAACATGGACGCACTTGGTTCCATAATCATTTCATGTGGAAGCGGAACACGCGCTCCGATGTGCAGGTTGTTATTATGACATCATAACCCCGCTGTCAAAAACCACAATAAGTACAACTTCCACCATGTCACGGTTTAGTTTGCTGCTGTGCTATAGCTTGTAATAGCAATCATACACCGGAAATAAAAATAAACTAATAATCAGTAAATAATCTGACACGGATAGTTAAATATACGGGCACATGGCCAAATATGTCAACCAGCAATATCTTTTCTGTTGGAATTTCTCACCTCATATTTCGATGTTTTATACTGAGATCGGTGATGATCAAGAGTCGCCGATGACTGAAGGGATTTGAAAACAACGCATCTTGTTTTAAGGACGTTTTGAAATTTCTCAAATAATTCAGTGCAACTCAGTACTATTTTTAACACCCAAACTCTGGAAACAACGGACTTTAATTGTCGTCATGCTTTAGCGTTTTTAGTCTGCGTGCATTTTTTGTCTTCGAGCACTTTAGTCTTAAATTGTTTTTAAGTACTGTCAGACTTTTGGGTGGCGGCCGGAGGCGTCGTCCTTGACTCGGCAGCACGCGGGACTAGAAGCATAAATATCTGTGACTAGAAGGACCATATAGTGCGGGAAACGTCGGCACTTATGGAAAGTGCTGCAAACCCCCAAAACAAATCGTACCCGTCTAAATCAAAACGTGCCTTTTAGAAAATGCGGACAATGAATCAACTGAATCCTGAATCCCATTCAAAACATCTGCACACGTGCACGCGAGTTACAAGCGGTGTCTGCACTTCACTGTCATCATCTATTAACGCAACACACCCACCCTTCATATGAATATATATTAGTCACATGCAGCTGAAGGCCTCCGAGGCTTAATCAATTCATATTCATTTTCAATCTGCAAAATCATACAATTCAGAACCTTAAAATTCCTGCTAATCATCTGAAAAGCCTCATTTTTTCACGTTTTTTTTCCGTCACCGTCTCTCTTTTTGTAACGAGGTGTTTTCGTTTAGAAGTTCTATAGCAACGCGTCCGTCACCGCGTCCTCAGTTGTGTAAGCGGTCCTCGGGGAGTGCGCGAGGAGGCCTCTGCGCGAGCACGGCGGCGGCTCTGTCCACGCGCGCGCATCCTCCCTCCCGGGCTTCGGAGCAAACGACTTCCGACATAAATTGCAATCAGGAGGAAAGAGTCAGCCGCCAGGAATACGCAGATTCCCCGACAGCCAATTTAATCATTAAAGGGGGCGGGGGGGGGGAGCGTATGGCACTCCGAGCAATGAGAGGTTGACCCCGATTTATTAGAGGAGCGGGTGTTCGTGGAGTCAAAGGGGTCCGCTGCTTAGTCAGGGTCCCAGGCCCCCCAGGGGGGGTCTGGTGGTGGTGTAGTAGGTGGGCTCCACCACCTCCGCCCCTGATTAATCGAACCCGTGCGCCAAACTGCACATGCGGCCGCATGATCGCAATTAGAACCGAAGCCGACTGCGCGCAGAGGCCTCGGCTGCTCGTCCCGACAACGGGCCCGATGATTACTGCCACGGTTCCGGTTACCGGCGTTCAATGGGCCGCTGGGAGAAGTAATCCGGAATAGAGCCAATCATTACCATTACTATTAGACTACTAGACTAGAGACTACTTACAAACAACACGTTTTCAAAAATAAAAAATGAAACGAATGGAAATAGGAGAAATAGGTGCAGTGTTTTTCGGTGTAGACGGAAAAGCTAAAGACAGATATCTAAAAAAAAAATAAAGAAACACGCAGAGCAAGTGATACCTGTGACGTTATTGATCGTTAGTTGGTATGATAGTTAAGTGCTGTAATAATGTTAACTTTACGTTTGTTAATGTTAACATTGATTGATGTTTATTTATGGTAGTTACGTTGTTAGGACTGTTATGTTTCTTCTAACTTCAATCCAACTTCAAGTTTCATCACTATTCTTGCCCCAGACCTGAAGTTAACCACAACCACGTGGCGTGTGCGTTTCTACCAGCGAGATAGAGGCCAACATTTCTGACAAAAACAGTAAGCGTAAATGTGAATGGGTATGAAGTGACATGGTATACATATATATGTATATGTATATATATTTTTTAACTCACTTTTCATTTCGTTTTCACCAACATAACGCATGCATTTTCATGCACACGTCCTTGAACTGAGACTAACGAGACCCTGAACGCATCAAGCTGCTATCAGATTACATTCTCCATAAATCGGCTATTCATCATCAACAGTTGTCTTTGTAACACTGCAACGGGCATCAGGTAAATATGAATTGTAACTAAACTCATTCCATGATCCATTTGGAGATTACTTCCCCATTTGGCGTGATAATGGATTGGCCTGCATTTGGCTGCAGCCGCATTAACCCGTGAGGCGTTCACAGACCGCGCTTCATAAATAGCCCCACAGTGTGACGGCCATTCATCACGGGGCTGAACCCTCAACCCTCTGAGGACGATGGGAAGTGAACCGGGGAGCAACGTTTTGGGAATAAAAGCCCTCACTGTTTCTCTCTCTGCGACAACTTGTGCCGTGAGTGGGTCCTCACCCAGCTTCCTATGTGGACTCAGACTTCAGAGTCAGCTTTTATCGGCCACAAGGACCCATTTGGGCTGCCATATATATATATGGCAGACTTCTAAACATAGAATGTATATATATATATATATATATATATATATATATATATATATATATATATATATATATATATATATATATATAGCAGCGGACAGGTGTCCGGTGAAGGGGGCCTATGGGAATTGTGTAGAATGCTGAACCACAAATATGTGCAAAAATGCAAAAAGAATGAAGGATAAATTATATATATAATATATATATATGTATATAGCGATCTGAGCGATTTGCTCAGTATTATGACATTGTATTATTTTTTTTCCTTTTCTAATGATGACGTTTAAAGGGTCTTTTCAGAAAACAATACAACCATATCTTCTTGCATTTAGTGGCAGTAGCCACCGCTTTCTAACACAATGGACGGAGATCCATCCATCACGCTTCTGTGCATGTGAATATTATTGAGTCCCAAAATAGTCTCGCAAGCCACACAAATGACTTCTTTCAAAAAATATTTAAAAATGAAATGATACACTTAACAATCTCAGACAGTCTCAGATTCTCATTTGAAGGCACAGAACTGTCCAAACTCTCTTTTTGTTTCAAGGCAAGACGAGGAGATAATGACTATAACATTTAACTAATTATCATCATTATTTCTGAACTTTTATGTTCAATAACGGAAAGGAGCCATAACCTTTCTAAATACGTGCAAATGTTTAAACATTTCCAGAACATAAATCGGATCATTCTGATTCTGATTTCATTTGGTTGACACATAATAGGTCAGTTTTTACTGAGGGTGTCTAGGATATTTCTTTGTATCCCTCCATAAATAGGTACAAAAAAGAAAATGCATTTCCTCCATGTTTGAATTTATGAATGATGTATCAACACATCTCTAAATTTGAGTTTCTTGTCATCAGGGTTGTAATGCTTAAGTAACACTAAAAATACATGTTTGCAAACTGCTCCATCATCATCACAATGCACTCAGACCGAAGGGAGATGGTGTTAAAG